AAATAGCGAGCGACTCGCAGAATTTTGTTGAAATTTGCGGCTAGGTTGAAACAAAACCGAACAGCCTCTAATTCGCACATATAGAAATGCAAGAGCTCGATTGAAAGCACACGCATTGGGGAGTTTTTACTATGCTTTTTTCAAGTAAGCTTTGGGAAGTTGAAGCGAATGGACTAATTATTCTGAACCGGGGCTTGCTTGAGAATGCTTGGCGTGAGATGCTCTAGCATTGTCTCACTGCGTGTCAAAGAGCAACTGGATCCGCACATATTGAAACATTTTGAAACCCAAGATGGATGGCTTGGGAAGAAGGCATCCCTAAAGGCGTCATCCAACAGCCTATAACAGCCTTCTGTTCTTTGGCATTTCTTTGGCATGAATTATTCACGTTGCCGGCTTCACGCTGTGCATGACTAGCTGCGTGGGTTTCACACGTAATCGAGGGATTCGGAGCATGTACAAAGAAATTAGAGTCACTTTGATGGCAAACCTCAAAGTGACTCAATTGCTCTGGAATGTCCTCGTTTTGCATGAGTTTAGTCGGCTAGAGATTTCAATCGGCGCATATCGGTGCCTGGCATGAGGTTCGGGAGGTCTCCGCAAGCTACCTTCCAAAAAAAGTGCCATGCTGCCAGATCACGTGTGCCTCAAGGGATTTAAGAGCTGGTTTGATTTGAGTGTTTCCTTGTCCCTATGAGATCTTAATTTGTCAAGATGTGAAAGCACACAATTTTAGTGCTGGCAGTGGCTGCTTGTCCAGGTGCTCAACAATAATTGCAATCAGTGGATGTCAGATAAGTAGACCCATTGGATCACGGACTTGGCTAAACTCCTTTAGCAGTCAGTCAGTCGTGGCCAATCTGCAGGTTCAAATGCCACGGTACTCAGACTTCCAATCTTGGCTCGGAGGGTTGATTGAAATCCTGGTGCAGCCGGCTTGTTTGGGTTTGGACGTGACTAGGATGCTGCTGCAAGTGTTTGCCACTGTTTGCTTTCAAATCCTTTCCCCAGCAGGGGAGAAGGTGTGATAACAATTGGCAATTACAAATAGTAATTAAACATAATCAAACATCAATTATAATTCATTGCACAAATCGAAGGCATGAAGTGATTGATAGAGTCTTAGATTAAGATAGGATCGACAGAGGATAGAGATGGATAGAGGACTTCTGTGGCGATTTTTGGCGCAGTTCTTCGCTGACTACCTCTTGTCCTTCACTGGATTGAGCCTCTTGCGCAGCATGGTGCTCAAGGCCGCAGCGCGAAGCGAGACCATGCGAGACCATGCGAGACCATGCGAGACCATGAAACCTAGAAACGCCCAGAAGCGCACAGGAAAGACATGGAAAGACCCTGACGAGACATTAGGAAGAACATGGAAGAAACGCTTTTGCCCTTGGCTTGGCAGGTTGATGAAAAGATCAACGAGTTCAAGGACAAGGTCGAGATGAAGGCCAAAGAAGACGGATTTTGAACACAACTAATGTGAGACGCTCTACTGACTCTAGTACATATCAATTCACCAGGTTCTGGGCTCAAGTTCCAGCGTGGCAAGGGAATCGCAGGACAGAAGTGGTTGGGAGGGCTTCATGCAATAGCGATCGTGAAGAATATATAAAGATATGATAGAATATGTGTATATGATTATGCTTTGAGTACACAGACTTGCTTGGGGCGAGCTGTGCAGTTTAAGCCGCCAGCATGACTTTTCCCATTTGCGCAATCATGATTTGGCTATACATTCTGTCAGTTCGACTTGTTGAGGTTGTAGAAGTGAGACGAAGTAAAACAAGAAGTAAAAGATAGTAGGAGATTGCAGACAAGTTCAGATCCTTTGAAACAAATATGGCAGTGGGTCAAAACCTTGTACCCCTGTAGTTCACATCAAAATAGCTGGTAAATGGATGTTCATCCCTCTAAAAATGGTATTTTCATAGGTATTGATTCATAGCCATATCTCGCACACGTCGCACACAGCCAGTTTTCGGCGAAAGGCAGCGGGGACAGAGCTGCGGCAGCGGCGAAAGGCAGATGAGGCGTCGATGCTTCCACATGTTTCCACACTGTCCCGTGCTGTTGTTGGCATTTTTGCAGATTTTTGATCCGATGAATCAGATGCTGTTGTTGGCTTTCCAAGTATCAATCATATCATCATATCCCATATCGATTTGTGGCGAGTGTTCAAAGGCTCAGCCTGCAGCCATTTTGGCTGAACGTGGCTGAAGGTGGAAGGAAACCAACGGATGCCTCCTGTGTTGCAGGACGTGAGCCGCACAGCTGCGCCCACTGCCTGGGAATCGATGTCGCGACACAGCTTGGAGAGCTCCGAGAGGGAAGAGTTTCCAGCCACGCAATGCTATGGAGCCATGGATGCCATGGACGGCGATTTCCTGGATTCAGATGCACCAGGTGCACTTGAATCCTTCAATGCGACTCAGGCCTATGATTTCGAAAGTCATGAGAGTGACAACATCTTGGCAACGCAGGTCTATTTGGACGACATCGATGCCGGTGCAGATACACTCCAATACAGCGACATGAGCGTTCTTCAGAATGAGACAGGAGTTGACGATTCTGATCCTCCAGAAATCTTGAATGAGGCTGAGCTGATGGCAACGCAGGCATATGCAGAAGATGACCTGGTCCAGGCTGAGGATGCCGAGGATGAGAGCAATGAAAAGGAGGCCGGGCAATCTATGCGAGCCAAAGCTTCTGAGGCAATTCCTTTTGCAGGACCTCGAGAACCTTGTGACATGCCACCGCCAATGGTGCCAGATCGCAAAAGAAAGAGAGATGAACCAAGCGAAGCAAACTGCGAAACAAAGCTCAGTTTGCCGGACCAGAACCTCCGGACAGCTGTAGCAACTCCTGTAAGGAGTCCAAGGCCAGCATCACATGAGGTTCTTCATGTGGAGGACTCACCTCTCAAACCTGAAAGGACAGGTCCCAAGAGACGACGCTTGTATGGCAAACAGCCACCGCCCTTTCCAAATCCATTTTTGCCCCCTCCACGCCTACCGGGCCGAGTGGGCCTACTGGGCCTGCCAGAAGTAGAAGTGAAAGGGAGGCAAGTGAAGGCAGCGAAGGCCTCAAGGGCGAGAAAAGCCACAAGTCGAAAGAGGCAGAAAGTTTACTTTGCAGTCACTGGATTTGTCTTGGACAGAGTCAAACGTGACAAGCTTGAAAAGATCCCTGGTGTGGTGGTTTTGGACGAATGGTCTTCAAAGGTTACACATGTCATTGCCAAAGGCTTTCGACGGACAACCAAGCTCATGTGTGCCGTGTGCGCCGGCCTTCATATTGTGGTTCCAGAGTTCATTGATAAGTGCATTAAAGCAGGAGATGTGATAGATGAGGAGGCATTCCTGCTGCGAGATGAAATTTCTGAGGCTACCTTTGCAGAAAAGCATCAGTTACCGATCTACTCACTGCAGACAGCTGTACAACAGGCTCGCATTGAGGGAGCTTTGCTACGCAACAAGTCTGTGTATTGGATAGATGGCAGTGCTGCAGAGAGGGAGGAGCTAAGGCTCCTAGTAGAGGCAGCTGGTGGCCGATGGCTGAAGAGGAAACCACGAAAGCCACCTGCAGCGGAGGCAGTGGTGGCCACAGCTCCAAAGTCGCTGTGGCTTGGAAAGGATTTTGATCCTGAGTTGCTGAGAGAAGCTGCGTGCACTCAGGTGCTGCGCTGGGAGACCTATAGGTTGTGAATCATACAAAGTACTTGTATCAATCAAGTGATCTGATGTGATCTGATTTGATGTGATTTCATGATCTTGGGAATGGCTGTGAAACGTTGTGAATTGCAATTCAGAAAGGCTGTCAATTAGCTGTGTGTCCAGCTGTGGGGTGAAGCCTTAGAAGGCGATGACTCGATTCGCCGGTGATCAAAAGTTTCTCGTTTGCTGCCGACCACCCAAGTCTACCACGGGGTATGAAAGGACAGATGCAATATGATGTTATATATATATTTATTTATTTATATTGTTATATCATGTTATATCGTTTTTACGAGTGAGAGAGTGCAACCTGGGTCCTACATGGGCTCGTGGTTGATTCGAAAAGAATTTGCATGCTAGCTCTCCCATCCTACTGCTTGAAATACCACATTGCGCGAGGCCGAGGAAGACATTGATATTTGAATTCGCAATGATCTCGTTTCACAAAGTACATAGTTACGAGACCAATTGCAAAACACCATCAATGCAATATAGAACCAGAGCAATATAAATCGATTGTTCGGAAGCTACTTTTTAATTATGTTATATAATTTGATTTTAAAGATTGATATCATGCTTCGTCCAGAGTCTAGAGCATCTACTAAAATAATATATTTTAGGAATACTGAATTATAAACTGAATTATAATATATTTTTGGGATTGAATTATTGGAGATATTCCCTACTTGCCAGGTGAGGGTCTTTATATGTCTTTATATTTTATATTATCTGATTTTTCTTAGGTATTAGCTAGTAATATAGTAATTGTATAATGAGGGAATTTATAATGATCGCGAAGATAATTATACGTTTGCGTGGTAATACGCGAAGATTTGCAAAACCATTTGGTACAAATAACTTCTTGACTTGATACGAAGCGATACGAAATGAAATATTTCATGAATTCGGGATAATATTATTAAATATATGGAGGATGGAATAAACCGCGAAATCTAGAAAAAATATGAAATAATTATTTAATTATATTTAATTATTTAAATAAAATTAAATATTATACATTATATAATTATTATATTATATAATTATTGTAATAAATAAATTGAGAATGGAAGGAAACCTGATTTCACAATGGCTTGAATCCTGATTTAACCTCTGTGGTTGTATGGTTCCCTACTATTTTTGGGGAGGTTTGAATCTAAATGTAAGCTTTTTAGGGCGGTGCCCACATAGGCAAGCTTGAATTAAGATTTAAGTATCACATTCTATGCCTGTACTCTGGTTGTTCTTAAATCTTGATGTTAGCCTGGTCTTTCTGGTGTA